ATCTCTGAATAAATAATCAGAGCTTTTAGTATGATAAAGATATGGATGCAAAATGTTAGCAACTGGAAATCTAAAGACAAAGGCAACCTTTCAACCTTAAATATCAGCCTGATTCTCTCTTTCTTCCAGTCCCCCTCAGAAAAAAACCTCCTATTAATTTCAAAGGAAGTTTCAACAGATAAGGTCATGTGTTTTGACCCACACTGCTTTCGAGATTTAAAGTAATTGAATCTATTGTTGCAGCAAATAAAAGCCTAATAAAATACTTGTATTAGTGTTTATTTTTTGATAATTACTGATGTTCTATGCAGGTGGGAAAGCTTGGTTGCATGCCTGTAGGACACTAATGGGAAATACTTTTTTTCCAAGCGTCACATTTAGAAGAAAATAAGCCTGTATTACGAAGTTTCATGCTGGCTCTCATTATGCCATCTCATAAGCTTGTCCTTTGATTTATTATAAAAATTAAATATATTTTCTCAGTGAGATCAGAGGTATTAGATGAGAGGTCATGGAAATGCTGGCAGAAAAATGCTAGCTTTCTGGTGCAAAATCATTTGTATTACACATACTAGGTTCAGCCAATGCTGCTGAATTGCCAGAGGAGCCTGGTACGATCCTGGTGGATTCCCGTTCCCCAGAGTCAGGGATGATGGAAACTGTGGGTTTCCCAGCTCTGGTACAGTCCAGAAGTAAACCTCTCCCAGTGTCTCCTGCAGGGTGCTCAGCAAATTTGACATCCTTGTCAATTTTGCTGCAGCTAGGAGCAGGGGAGCTGACACGAATACCAATTTTGCAGAGCAGCTGCAGGATACTGTTAGCTTACTAGAAATGAAATTTTAAAAAAAAAAAAAAAAAAAAAAAAAAAAGTCTTGGATTCAGCTGAGATCAAATCCAGTACTGCAATTGACAAATGTTCCATGCAACCAGGAGATCCAGCTTTTAAATTAGTTCTTCAGACTCTGAAGTCCCCTTTACCAGGGGAAGGAGATCTGCTGGCATGTCTGGTAAGGCTTCCTTCTCCCCTGAGAAAATGTAATACATCTTTTTACTCTGGTTCTAATCGCCGTGTACTTTCCAAATGTTTTGGTAAATGGGGCAAATCTACATAACACTTCTTGTAATGCCCCGAGCAGACTATGCAGGCATATTCAAGCCAGCTTCAAACTAGTCAGTCTAACCACAGCTGTATGCAGCTCAGCCCCAGCTCCCAGAGCTGGATAAACCACACAAATAAATATGAGGCAGGCTTTTGCAACCCATGGTACGTCCTGAACTGCCACCGTTATCCTCATAGCTGTACCCAGCATGCTGGAATTAGCTTCAAAGCAGTTGTCACCACAGCATCCGTGTATCCCTAAGAGCTATACAGTTTTCATGGAAATCCTGCTGCACTGCTCTATCGTTATGACTGATACAGAACATGGAAGACAAGTCTTTTGTTTTGCCGAAACATGCCATTTTTGGTGACAACAGTTTCTCAGCTGTCAGGTGAAAAAAATACGATCATCCCTCCGAGTCATACAGCCATCTATTCCAGTTCATTAGCCTGATGAATCAGAGAGCAGCTTAAGCAGCGCACAGTAAAGAGCATCTTCAGGTATGAATCCTGAAAACTCTTATTCTGCATTTAACCTCACGCAAGAATTCACACTTAGCGAAATGAGACTTCTTGGGCAATTATGGGCCATTTTCAGGAGTACAGGCTTCGGGGTCCCAGAAAGTATGGTCAAATCCTGCCTGAAAGCTTCCGCTGCGCAATAAACAGGTTAGAGAGCAACTGGGCTGTAACTCAAGCCTCTTCTGGCACTTAAGGGAGCCAGATCCTCACTGCTTTCTTTCTAGTTCTAGTGAGAATAATAAGAAATCAGAAGAAAATGAGTGTTTTCTCACAGACGATCCAGGCTCGAGACTTGCAAACCCACATGTAGTAATTATTAGTCATCATGGAAGAGCAAAGAAAAGAAACCTTCTAAATAGATCACAAAGCTTGAAAACAAACACATCAGGTACAAACTTCCACCACGTGCACCAGCGCCTGGATCTGGGATTCTTGCTCAGACCAGTTTACAATATAAAAACATTCTTTTTGCAGTTTTCTGTAGTTATTTTTTAATTAAAGAGAGTCTTAAACCAGGGGCGTTAGAAAGCGATGACAGAAGGAGGGGTGTGGCAGGGAGAGAGAGATGTTTTTCTCAGAAAACAAGCTACACATCTTTCCTGCCCAATGGAACAAATAATTTATGGTTATGCAAGTTACTCAACAACAACGGCAACTCCTTTGTCATATATTTTTCTCGCGCCTCTATTAGCACTTACAGGAGTTTGAACGTGGCTAAATCTTCCACTCGCGCTGCCTTTTCATACTGCCATTTCCTTCACCCATCATCTGCTAAATCAATGTAACAAGATTTCTTCTGGGTTACCCTCTAGCTTTGGTAGCAGAACCTGAATATACGGCTTTGGCAAGCTGCTGCTTTAATTGTAGAGCACCCGACCTGTTGTTTTGGGGTTTTTTTAAAGAAAAAGCGGGTAACAAAGTTAAAGGACTCTTAGAATATGACAAATGTCTCCAAGAGAAGCTTCAACAACCTTAAAAACATGTATAAACTGGGGCTGCACTACAAATTTTTAGCCTTGTTGAGCAAACAGTTCCAGATTAACAAACCAACCCGACCGCAACTATTACCTGCTGAAGTATGCTTAAATTTTTCACTCTTCTTCTTCCTCCATTTCCATGGCTTAAAAAGCCTTCCGAGAGTAGCAAATTTGCTTCTTCTTCTGATTGGAGGTGTGTGAGTCCCAGGTACTAGAGAATCGGAACGCATTGCAGCCAGTCTTTCCACTTCCTCAGCTATAGTTCCAGCAAGAAAAGGAGAAAAAAAAAGGGGGGGGAGGAAGTGAAATAAATGCTTTAATAAATTATCAGAGAACCACACAGACGGTCAAAATTTTCCAAGGTTATAGAGAAGAGTATAAAGGGAAAAAAATATAGTCATTATTATTTTAACATTATTTTCTTTCCCTTCAGTGGAATCCATAATCTACTGTAAAGATCAGTATTAACAAGCAGATTCAAGAGGAATACGGATTATTACAATAGGAAAGTTACAATCTTTAACAAAATGTTCTGCATCGCTCTAGACAGCTGGCAGTTCATCCGCCAGCCATTCCTGGGGAAGCGTGACAGAGACTGGGGAAGAGAAAGCTCCAAAAAAATGATGCAATACTGGTTAAAAGAAATATTGCAAGTCTTTTTTTTGCAATGGAAAGAGACATTTCCATGAACTAATACTTATCAGGAGCAAGGACCCCAATAAATAATGACCCTCTGGTATCATTACCATGTCCATTAAAACTGTCTGGGTTACAAAAGGGGCTGCATTAGGAATTTCCTAGTGACAGAAAGGGTGCTAAAAATTCAGAAGGTTCCTTCCAGTCCCATTTTTTTGCTCACTCATTCCTCTCCAATTCTTATACTTATCTTTTAACACACGGACTTGGAGAATTTTAATAGAGCGCACACTTAGGGCAGAATTCCTGGGGGTGCGGGGGGTGGGTTTACAGGTTTTCACTGAGCTTCTGTTATTAAGAAATTCAGCTTTCTGCAACCTTTGCACTGTAATACATCATGATAGTCTCAATACTTAAAAAAAAATCTGAAGAATTTAAACTACCCGTCATCCTGGATGAGAGCAAAAAGTCTGGGAGTGGTCACTTGGTGCAGTTACGTTGCATGGTCCCCCCCTCATGTTAGCAGGGAAAATGGGCTGGTAGTTTTGAAAAATAACATCCCTGTGATTAGAGGCACAGAGAGAGGAAAGCCAGGACCACGAAGGAAAACACCGACAGGGTGAAGGTCCCAGTAGCTCAGGAGAAAGGGTCTCTCCATGCTGCAGCGGCCAGGGCTGCAATAAGCTCTCCCAGCCCCGAACTAAAGCATGCGCTCTTGCTCCTGACAAAAAGCATCTGTGCAATTCAGTCAGCACACAGGAGGGAGTTTGGGGTTTTATTTTTAAGTTGTTGGTGGGTTTTCTTGGTTGGTTGGTTTTTTTTTTTTTTTTTTTTTTTTTAATGGGATATCATTTCCTAGGCTTGTGTTGTAATGTGACAGTGCCGGTGAAACCAATTTGAGCAGTTTCCACGCAGTCTGGATTCATAAATCCAGGACGCAGATCGTCACCTCTCATGCTCTGAAGACGGCAGCCCGGTGTTTCTATTTCACCCGCAGTATATTAAGTTTTAACCTCAGCCATGAGCACAGGCTTGGGAACCTCAGCAAGAACATCGCTCTGAAGGGATGAGAACACCTACTCCACACTAACAGAATCACCAGAGATTTTGGCTGACAAATTCTTATGTGCCTCAATGGAAATTTTTCCGAGGCTTTAAGTGTGGCCAATTTAGGTGGGTTTTCATGGGAATAGCCGGAGACACAGCTCTTAACACATCAGAACTCCAAACAAATTCTATTTGAGCCCCCGAGGGTTTTGCAAGAAGGTTGGTTATTTTGTTATTGCTTTTTGTTTGGTTTTAACATTGGCAAAGCAATCCTTTTTCCTGTAAAATATCACTGCCAGATACAGCTTACCGTAACTTTCTGGAAAGAAAAAAAAAAAAGCTAGCCAGCAAGATACGGAGAGCCCAACTGCTTCAGTGGAAATGGCTAAAAAAACCCTATTCTTTGGGGCAATGGAGAGAAAGACAGACATTTCTGAGAACATCATCTTTCCACTTAAAGCAGAGGAAAAATAGGTAGTCCGGTCAAAGCATTTCATTCTGTTCTCTTTGTGCCTGACTGCCGAGAGGAATGCCTTCTTACAGAGAGAATCCATTACAAGGCTCTGTCCTGGGACATGCTGGAAATTGCCTGGTTATGCTGAACAAACCGTGAGGGTAAAAAGAGGAGGAAATCAGAAATTTCCTGACACTTTCTGATTTCACTGGAACCTGCTGGGCTTTGAAGACCAGCAGGGGGTACAGACTGCCTCGCTCTATATGCAGATCCAAAGGGGACCACGCCTTTTCCCCCTCCTCCTTTTTTAAGATGCCTGTAGTTAAAGCACATAAGATGACGCTGTGTTCCACCGCTGTGGTATTTTAGAGATGCTGCTAAAAGTAATGGGCTGGTGGTGTCCTTGCTGCCTTACTTGGGGGACACAGGGTGTAGAAGGGGCCCGTTGAGCAAACTGGGCAGGACACGCTTACTGCTGCTGAATCAGGCTTCCTGCTGCAGAAACCCACCGCTGAAACACAACGAAATCCCTCTTGTTGCTCACCCTCTCTCCTTTTCCCCATCACTGAGACACCGTTTCTGCTACCCGGGTGCCTTAGTTAGTAAATCTCAGAGTTGCCACAACTCCTCTTTGAGAACTGATCCTAACTGGTGCTGCTGAGGCCACTCCCTGGAGAACCGGCATCCCTTAAAAATCCTCTCCTTTTGCAATGCGCATCCCCTCCGTCCCACACCAGCTGCGCTCTCACTGCTCCTGGGAAGCTTTTCCCACTCAGCGTAAACTAATATGGACTCACAGTCACGCAAAACTGAACGCAGGAGTCAAAAGGAATTTACCCAAAAGGCGGGTTCATTAAAAGCCAAACACAGCGTCAAAACCATTTCCGTATTTTGACTGCTCTTCCCTGAATTTCAGCGTCGTCTCTCACACGGATCTGTGCTCCAGGAGTCCTGCTGTGCGAGAGCCATCAGCCATGAACGCGGCCCTTCTCCTTCATCCTCTCCAAACACACACAGCTCTGCGCTAATGCACGTAACAGCTCTCTTCCCCTCTCGCTCCTATTTCTCAGAAGGACTACCTCATTTTTTTTCATGAAAACCGCTCTCAAGAGCACTGCTAATTCAAAGCATAATAATCACTGGCTAGGAATGAACCCCATTAGCATAAAGCCATGACAGTTTTTAATACAGCAAGAATAAAAGCAGAGCACAAAGCGAGAAGTAAACGCCAGATTTCTGCACTCTTCTTTGCTGCCGCATCTTTCGCTCGAGTTGGCCGGGTTTCTCTGCCTTTTTGGCTCCTAATGACTATTGACTGGCTGTGGGCTGCGTCACCCACTGCTGACAGCAGGCTCCGTAGGCTGGTTTCACACCCTTGCTGTTCCCAAAAAAGGTGGCACTTGCACAAATGGAAACCAACCCAGGCCTTGCACTTTTTTTTCTTTTTTTTTTGCCTTCAAAGAGGAAAGCAATCCCAGCAGTCCCAGCTTGACCAGTCTGCTGAACTGGGAGAAAGAATGGCCACATGCATTAATGAGCCTGCGGTCACAATGTGGAGGTCTCGTCTTGAGGCTGGTGCCAGAAATGAGATGCTTATGGGTTGCTGTTGCTGCTGATACTCGGTGCTTTGGGGAACACGTTCTGATTTTTTTCCAGGATCTGAGAGATCTTGCCGACACACAGAGAGATGCTGGGATCTACATTTACGACAAGAGGGTGATGCACTCCCCTCCCACTTTCTTCTGTCCGAGCTGTCACCCCAGAATAGCAATGGGGAAACTAAACCTGCGAGCTTTTCACAGGCTGGTTGGCTGTGAGACAGCTCTCAAGATCTTACTGTAGTCCTTAAGACATCTGAAGTTCATACAGACTGAAGGGCTTAAGCAAGACTTGTGGTTTTAATGAGAAAAGGCACCACAAATCAAAATATTTTGCATCCAAGTGACGTAAAAGAAATTTTACAAACATGACTGAAATATGCTACAAAGACTTAAAACACTAGAAGGTCTAAAAACTAATTTCTTCTCTTCTCCCCCCCCCGCCCCCCCCCTTTTTTTTTTTTACTTATTTTGAAGCTAACCATGGGTTTAAGGGTTTTTTTTGGTCAAAGTCACCCCGAAGTGGGCTGTAAAGTACAGCATGGATACCAGACACGGACAATCAGCAAGCTGGGGAAAAGCATTTTGAAAAGGATTCTTCAAAACAGTCAGAAAGAGGCCAGGCCATCTGGGACCCATTCTTTATGTTCTTGTGAGTTTCCTACGTCTTTCAGTAGGGTGTTGATTTCCAGAGGGTCCAGTGAGAGACAACTCAGTGGAAGTCACCTACTTTTTGGATTTGAGAAGCATAGCAGGCAGATCAAAGGCCTTCCCAAAGACAACGTAACTTATGAAGTTTTCCTGGAGAACAACAACCAGTTTTGTCATTCCCATGTCCATCTGGGAACACTGCTGATATATCATATAGCCAGCTTTCATTTTAGAAAAAAACCCTCAGTTACCACATTCAGGTACACAGAGCAATTTCATTGCTGAAGGCTGAAGTCCACCCATCCCATCTAAGATCTTTAATATTACCTTCCTCACCAGTAAGCACACTACGTTTTCTCTCAGACCATTTCTGAACATTCGCTGATCATGCTCAGACGTGGGATTATCTTAACAAGCAGTTTACTTCCCAAAGTTAGATTTTAAGCCTTCCCAGCAAACAGCAAGAGCTGCATCATTCTTTCTGTTATATTTGTGCAAATCTGTAGTAACAGGCTGAAAATTATTTTGGCCCTAAAGATGCAATTAACTAACTGTGCCATTTTATTTTATGATAGAAACTTTATATAAATAAACCTCCCCCCAACAACATAATATCCTTATTCTCAGTCCACGTGCAACCAGTCTTTATTCTTCAGGTTACTTTCCAACAAGATCCTGCTGCAAGGTTTCTTTCGAAGTCTGCACCCTGAATATCCTTTGCTTCAGACTGCACAGACCTTATTCTAGCAGCTTTGTTCAATACAAGATGTAGATGCATCATGTGTCTTTTTGAAATGACAGGAAGACTGAATGACTGCTCTAATTGCTGAACACTTATGCCTTTTTACCTGAATGGCAACACTTTCAATT